TTGAGAAAAAGATAATAGATACTTTTCTTAAAAAGCTTGCATGTTTCAATGATGAAATTTCATGATTTAGTCTTGATCTTTTTGGCTTCCATTTTGTTTTCTGGTAGTAGTTTTTCTTTAAGATGATTCCAAATATCTATCATCTAACATCTATCCCTAACCTCATCAACGAAGATAGTTTTAAGTTTGAAACTTGGAGTAGTAACAACTTCTTGGATGATTGTCTAGTGTTGACCAAGACACTTGGTGCTAGCCAATTTAGACAAGAGATCACCCCTAGAATTTTGTACTTTGAAAATATGCTCAATCTTAAAGTCATCAAAGTAAGAAATTAACTAAAAGACTATATGGTATTACATTTGAAGCTGAGATTCCTTTGCTTGATAAGTTCTCCCAACTTATTTTGTGATCAATTGCAAGTCACTACAATATTTCAACTTTTTAACTCTAACATATTTGGCCAACCTTAATCTCGCCAACATGCTTCATATTCTGCTTGATTATTAGTGGCTTTGAATTTGAATTTGAAAGCTTGTTCCAACATGATATCACTAGGTCCTTCAAGAATATTGTTTGTTCCATTACCCCTGAAATTAGATGATCTATCAACATTTATGGTCTATCATTGTTCTTTTTGTTTTAGCACAAGAGTCAACTTGGTAACGAAGTCGGCTAAACATTGAACTTTTAATGGTTCTCTAATTTCATACTTTAATCCACATTTGGGCAATTCCATTGACCATACTATCATATGTTCCACTAATTATAGTTCTCTAAGTATTTACTTGATTTGGTAGTTAATTTTGATTACAATTTGATGACTTTGAAAATAAGGACGAAGACAACGAGATGAAGTTACCAATGCCAATACCATTTTTTCAATGGTTTGATATCTTTATATATATATATATATATATATATACATATATATATATCTTGCAAAACAAAACTTATAAAATATATGAGAACTTGGTTTTTACCAAGAAGACTACGAGTGTATCCTTAAGCAGGTACAGTATATGTATATTGTATAATTATTATGCCATTTGCACTGTCGGATATCTTAAAGGAATGGATTTGACTCTTTGGGGTACAATACAATCCTTATTTAATATTCCATCTGTCTCAATATTTTAGTCATTTAAGATTAATATAATTGAATTAAAAATATTTAGAAATTTAAATTTAAATTAAAAAAATCCTTATTTAATATTTTATTATCTTAATTCTATTATCTCATTTTTAAAAAATAAAAAATAAAAAAATAAAAAAATAAAAAAAGATTATAAAAAAAATTCCTTACTTTTTTATCAGTGTCCATCACAATATTACAAGTGAAACTCTAAATCAGTTTGAAAAAAGATATAAGTTGATATTAAATTCATTTATAAGCTTGTTTCGAATTCAATCAACCTTTACATTTGATAAATTTCATAAGTTGACTTTGGATTCGATTAACATTTAAATTTAGTAAATTTTATAAGTTAGTTTCAAATTTGACCAATTATATTGTGGCTTCAAACTCGATCATGTTGTAAAATGCAAATTTTAAAATAAAAGCATATTTAAAATAAATGGGTTGAAACAAACATGTCATAATAAAAGAGATGTTTCACTGCTAAAGATAATAATTGTATTCATACAATCCTTTACCATTTTTGTTTGAGATGTCTCGTTAAAACAAATTTTTTTAAAACTAAAATATAACTTCAAGTGAGTAGCATTCCAAGTTCTTGATATAACTTTGTCATTTAACTATTAATTTATATGCACCATTATGCAAGTTTTATAGTATGCAGTAAGAGCCTTCCCCGTTTGTTGCAAATTTTCCTGTCAAGGTACCTTTCCTTGCTTCCTCAGTTGCTTTCCAAACTAAATCTCCCTTGTAGAAACTTCTTAGCTTTAATTTGGAATTGTATTTGTGTGAGACATGTAATTTGCAAGTTTCTTCCTTTATTCGAGTATTTTCTCTTACCTCATCTAGAAGATCAAGTTCATTTTGTAATTCTCATTCATTTTGAACTTGATGAAAAGTTAATCTTTTATGAGTTTTCTCACTTACTTCAACTAGAATCATTGTGTTTGCCCCATAAGTTGATTTAGAAAACATTCAATTTTTTTGTCCCTAAATTGCTCTCCATTGTCAATAATGATAGTTGTAGTAGACCATACCTACAAATTATATTATTTCATGTAAATTTGTGCACATTTGGTGCAGTAATTTTTGCAACAGTCTCTTCCGTTATACACTTTGTGAAGTAATCAATTGTCACTATCAATAAATTGAATTGCCTTTTTGCTATGGGAAAGGACCAAGTATGTTCATTTCCCATCAAGTGAAAGGAAAGACAATTGCATTTGATGAAGAGTTTTTAGTGGTAAATTGCCAGATTCTTAACAAGTTTACATTTATGTACACAGTCCTTGTAATTCGACTTTATGGTTGACCAATAATAACCAACTTGGATGACCTTAGTAGCCATGGATCGAGCTCCATAATGCACACCACAAATATCTTTATGGATCTCTTTAATTACATATAGTGATTGATATTTTGTTAAATATTTGAGAAAAAGATAATAGATACTTTTCTTAAAAAGCTTGCATGTTTCAATGATGAAATTTCATGATTTAGTCTTGATCTTTTTGGCTTCCATTTTGTTTTCTGGTAGTAGTTTTTCTTTAAGATGATTCCAAATATCTATCATCTAACATCTATCCCTAACCTCATCAACGAAGATAGTTTTAAGTTTGAAACTTGGAGTAGTAACAACTTCTTGGATGATTGTCTAGTGTTGACCAAGACACTTGGTGCTAGCCAATTTAGACAAGAGATCACCCCTAGAATTTTGTACTTTGAAAATATGCTCAATCTTAAAGTCATCAAAGTAAGAAATTAACTAAAAGACTATATGGTATTACATTTGAAGCTGAGATTCCTTTGCTTGATAAGTTCTCCCAACTTATTTTGTGATCAATTGCAAGTCACTACAATATTTCAACTTTTTAACTCTAACATATTTGGCCAACCTTAATCTCGCCAACATGCTTCATATTCTGCTTGATTATTAGTGGCTTTGAATTTGAATTTGAAAGCTTGTTCCAACATGATATCACTAGGTCCTTCAAGAATATTGTTTGTTCCATTACCCCTGAAATTAGATGATCTATCAACATTTATGGTCTATCATTGTTCTTTTTGTTTTAGCACAAGAGTCAACTTGGTAACGAAGTCGGCTAAACATTGAACTTTTAATGGTTCTCTAATTTCATACTTTAATCCACATTTGGGCAATTCCATTGACCATACTATCATATGTTCCACTAATTATAGTTCTCTAAGTATTTACTTGATTTGGTAGTTAATTTTGATTACAATTTGATGACTTTGAAAATAAGGACGAAGACAACGAGATGAAGTTACCAATGCCAATACCATTTTTTCAATGGTTTGATATCTTTATATATATATATATATATATATATACATATATATATATCTTGCAAAACAAAACTTATAAAATAAATGAGAACTTGGTTTTTTTACCCTTTTCTTGTGCCAAAAGAACACTAATGACATTCTCATAACTGCTAAATATAACAAAAGGTTAGCTTGGTAGTCCGGCTTGGTCAAAATCAGAGGAATTGACAAAAAAAATTGAAATTAGAAAATGCTTGCTCACATTGATCATCTTAATAAAAATCTTTAAGTTTTTTTAATAAATTGAAAATTGAGACAATTGTTCTATGTTGGTTTAAGTTTGGTCTTCCAATAAGTATGTTGTAAGATGTTGATGCCTCCACCACCAAATATTTAACAAAAATTATTTTTGATTATTGTAAATTGCCAAAGATTATAACAATTCTACATATTTGATTGTACTCATTTCTAGCAAAATCGATAAGAGATTTTGTGTATATTAAAATAAGATTGTATGAAATATCAAACTTCAAAAAAGTTGACCAATATAAAATATCATTTAGTTTAATTGTATAATAATAAAGTATTATAATTTAGTGACCATTAAAATATTAAATAATTGTATTTACCTATATCTAAATCCTAATCTTTAAATAGAATATGATTAAATAAGTATATATATATATATATATATATATATTATATTTATTATGTATGATAACAAGAAATTATTTGTTTTAGGAGTAAGATATCGATTGACTATTCATGAACACACTCTTTATTATTTATCGAAATTTATTTAAACAAAAATTGCTTTCTGTTTAATGATCTTCTCCTTTATTTTAATTAAATTTCTAATAAATTTTAAGTACGTCGTTAGTAGTGCTCCTCTGAGTCGTGTATGAGTTGATTGCGATATTCCCCATCAACGTTTCTTTTGTTTCCTGTCAATGAAATTGATAATTATAAAATAAGAATAATAAAGTATTGGGCCTTTTGGAAGAAGACGTTGGTTAAAGCATGACTTGGTTGGCGGTTCGAGGGCAGGCCCACATCCGAACGAAGCGGACCAAACGGTAAGCGACAAGCTCGTGGTGGGGGCCCACAACACAACCACTTTCCACCTCATTGCTTAACGTGCCCCCACTCCTAACGTGTTCCTCATTAGTCACTTCCCATTATTCTAATCACCTTAACTTAATGCTCCAAAATCCCTTTATCATCCTCGTGCCAGTGTTCCATTGGACCCAAACGCGACCTTCACCGGTTTCAATTCCAAACGACGTCGTCTCCTTCGCCAAGTCTATTGCAACGAATATTTCCTACTTGAATATAATAAAGCAAAACCGGGCACACATTCGCTGGCTGCCACGTGTACTGTGCCTTGAAAAATTCTCAAAACCCCAAGCGAATAAAAAAACACATTTTGTTTCCATATTTATAATTATTAGACCAAATAATATTAACACACAGAAAAGAACCAGTTGTCGCGAGCGAGTCAATACTCGATACATATGACGCGTGAGGAAGAGTGACTCGGTAAAAGTAGTTTCAAGACTTTAGGTTATAAATATGTATTATTAGGATAAACGAATATTATTAAAGCGGCACCGAGAATATAAAAAAAAACAAAAAAAAAAAAACAATAGCACAGAGAAAGGGGAATCATCGATCTTGTAATTGTAATTTGCAACGGAACTTTTTTCCTTAGTTCCCATATCTGTGTGGAGACGACAAGTGCCACTCATTCGTGAAGACACAGAGAGGTCATATCCTTTGCTCTCAAAGGATATAAACCTCAGATTTTGGTTCCTCTGCGTTTTAACGCGTTTGGAAGGACCACGCGCTTCTTCGCTTATACACTAAGTTTGCCACAATTCATTTTGCCTGCTCGCGATCCGCTTTTGATTTGGAGTGAAACGCTGCGTAAAGGGGTCGCCAAAATGTGGTGGATGATGGCCGAGACTGGTGGCAATTACTGCTCTAAGAAGAAAGATGATTTGTGCAGCAATGTTTGTGGCCAGGTATATCATCTAAAATTACTTTAATTTTTATTTTTTTCTTTTCTTTTCCATGTTACTTTTCCGTTCATGTGCTTTGGATATGAGTTAATCTTCATGCTGTGGCTTCGATTCGCTCTTTTAGTTTACGGATTTCGTTGATCTAGATTTTGATGGAAATTTTGTCCTAGATTTGCTCTGTTTTCTGTTGTTGCTGTTGTTTGTTTTTTGTTTTTTCGTCTGTGCTGCGAGATTTTCGTGATCTGAAGTTAGCTACAGGATAAGGTTAAGTTTTTTAGGTTTTAGCTTTTTATTTTTTTCCCCTTTTTTATTTTAATTTTAATTTTAATTTTCTAAATTTTGCAAATCTGCTGAACTACTGTAACTGAAAAAAATCTGCTGAACTATTTTTTTTTTTTTTTTTGCGGTTTGTGAACAAAGACATCCTTTTACCTTCTTTCCTTTTTTCCTCCCGATGTTGGGAGATTCATTTGGGAGGAAAAGGGGTTTCGTTTTAGTTGCATCCACAATAGGATTTGAGTGTGTGCAAGGTTTATCTGATGAATAACTTGCGTTTCGGGGTTTTTTTGTGGGCATGTTTCTTGTCTCTTCTGGATACAGTTTGGCTTTATGATTACAATCGGTGATTTAAGTTAAATGATGCTTGAAAAATTTCATCAATAGAGATGAGCATTGGCATTTTGATAACTTTGTATGATTTAATGAAGTCGCATAATATATTTATTTTTTCATGATTTTCCATTCTTGAAGGTGGATTTTTGATGTTCCTTACTTATGCAGGAATCAAGTCAAGTATCGGGCATGTCAAGAGTTCGCTGCATTCTGCGTGGGTTGGATGTGAAAACCTATATATTCATGTTTGCTGTTGTCCCAATGTGCATCTTTGGAATCTATATACATGGGCAGAAGATCTCCTACTTTCTGCGGCCGCTATGGGAGAAACCACCCAAGCCTTTCAATGTCATCCCTCATTACTATAACGAAAATGTCACCATGGAGACTCTATGCAAACTTCATGGATGGGGTGTCCGGGAGTACCCTAGACGTGTTTATGATGCTGTGTTGTTCAGTAATGAGTTGGAAATACTTAACTTGCGCTGGAGAGAATTGTACCCTTACATCACTGAATTTGTTCTCCTGGAGTCAAATTCTACATTTACCGGATTGCCTAAGCCCCTGGTTTTCAAGAGCAACAGGGAGCAGTTCAGCTTTGTCGAGCCCCGGTTAACTTATGGGACAATTGGTGGGAGATTTAAGAAAGGAGAAAACCCATTTGTTGAGGAGGCATATCAGCGTGTGGCGTTGGACCAACTCCTCAAGATAGCTGGTATCACTGATGATGACTTGTTGATTATGTCTGATGTGGATGAGATACCAAGTGCTCACACTCTTAACCTCTTGAGGTGGTGTGATGAAGTACCCTCAATCCTTCATCTGCAGCTGAAAAATTATCTCTATTCATTCGAATTTCGCGTGGATGATAAGAGCTGGAGGGCTTCAATCCATAGGTATCAATCTGGTAAGACAAGGTATGCACATTATCGCCAGTCTGATGACATGTTGGCAGATGCTGGCTGGCATTGTAGCTTTTGCTTTCGTCGAATCAGCGATTTCATTTTCAAGATGAAAGCCTACAGTCATTATGATAGAGTCAGGTTCTCTCATTATTTAAATCCTGAAAGAATTCAGAAAGTAATCTGCAAAGGGGGTGATTTATTTGATATGCTGCCAGAGGAGTACACTTTCAAGGATATCATTGGTAAAATGGGACCAATACCCCATTCCTATTCTGCAGTTCATCTTCCTGCTTTTCTTCTGGAAAATGCTGAGGAGTATAAATTTCTCTTGCCTGGAAATTGCAAGAGAGAGAGATGATCTTGGAAAGTCATTTGTGATACTGGCTTGTTTCTAAGCTTGTAGCTTGTACAGCTCAAGTGACTATCCTCTCGGAAGTTTAAATTGAGGTTGTGATGACTGTGTGTCAATGTCATTATCATTGTCCAGTGAGATATTCTTTGGAATTCATTAATTTCAGATAAATTCTTTAATCTAGGGGGAATTCTGTATATATTTTAGAGCTGGACTTCATTCAAGGGGGGATCGACATCTCAGCTGATGAACGACTGAAAGTGCTGTTTGAGAACAGGCTTGCCTTCGCGAACTGTGTTTATTTGGTATTAATGTGATTGATCCTCATATATACGAGAGTAGTTTAAAATTCCCCACTTTTTCCAGTTTGGGAAGTTTTGTTTTTGCAGACCAATTTATTTTCTTATTATTCTTTGTTTATGCTAAATATGTCTAATCCGATTGCTTGGACTATCATAACATTGTTGACTCAGTTTTTTCGCATTATATAAATATAGCTTGGTTGTTATCAATTGGATACCGTTCCAATATGTATTTTACTGAGGCGCAACTTATTGCTTTATTTTTTGTTATTTTCTTTTGTTTCGGTATAATGGTAATTTCCTATTTGGAATCTACCAAAATTGATTTTTCTATTAAAAACTTAATTGAGAAATAAGTTGGTTATGCAATTAACTAATTAAGTGTGGGGATGCCCTATCCACTTAGCTCTTTTGTTAGATCAGTTTAGATACCTAATACATTGTGATTAGGCATGGTGCATTTTATCTTCTAAAAGGTCTTCTATTACACTACTTTAATCAGTTCAAAATAATATCTATTTTTTTTTCTCTAAGAAAATGAAGAGTGACTTTGAAATGAACATGTGAAAGAACTCAAATTTTGATTTAGGTTGCAAATAAAATAAAAAAAGAGAAATATTTATTCACCAATAAATTATTGAAAAAATTTAAAATGAACGACTCCAAAGTAATGGCAACTCCAATGAATTCTTCTTTAGTGTTATATAAGGATGAGTCAAATAAATCGGTAAATTATATATGATCTGTAAATGTAATGATAAGATTTATCTACTACTATTTTTACAACTCAGTGCTATTATATAATGGCTTCAATGACAATCCATTATCAATATAAATTATTTGACATTGTTTTATTTTTACATTATCGATGGATTAAAAATCATATTTAATATGACTTAAAGTTAATTATTATAAAAATTAATAATTTTATGGTACACGGTGATCTGTGATTAAAAATAGTATGAAATTATTTTGCGCTCTCAATATATATAACCTATTCTCTTATAAACAATTTGTTAATGTTTAATAATATTATCATATGTAAATATAACTAATATATAATTGAATTTTTTTTATTCATTACCAAGACTTTTATTGTAATATTTAGTGGTATTTATGGTACAGTTTGTTTCAATTGTTGTCTTATAAGTTACCTGAAACAAACAAAAAAATTATGGTTCGATGTCAATGAATTATGAAATTTAAATTAAATCAAACTAATTTTTTAGAGTTTGATTTGGTTCGATTTTTGTAATTTTTAAAATTTATTATTTAAAAATCAACTAAAAATATATAATATTGTGTTATTTATTTTAGATTGTATGTCAAAAATTAAATTAAAAATATACACATACTAAAATATTTCAATCGTATAATGTATTTAACGCCAAACCCTATCTTATTATTTTAATTAAAATACTTCTTTAATACACTTTTAGTTATCATATCAAATATTTTTTCTCATATATATAATTTGTCATTAATTTTTTAAAATATTATAAATAATTTATAATTTTCCATTTTAAAATTCAATTAGTGACTTACAATTTAATAAGATATTTTTTAAACATTATAATATATATTTGGAGAGAAAAAGTCTTTTATTAACTTACTATTTTATAAAACATATTTTATGTAGGTTGATTTTGTATACATGTACTATGTGTTTGAAAAAAAAATTTATAGTTAAGTGCTGTTTGATTGAATTTCACATTTCAATTTGAAAATTAAACCTAACCGCATGATTTTAAAAATTTTAAAACTGAAATAAATCATTAATTTGTGTTTTTTTATTATCAATTTTCAATTTTTTTTAGATTGATTTGCAATTATTTATTTAAATCAATTCAATTTTAAACACCTCTAATAATATTATATTTTAAATTATAAAGTAATATTTAAAAAAGTTATCTACATGCATGTTAGGACTAGTTAATTAAAACAAGTGTAACTACGACACACTTAACATTTTATTTAAAAACCAATAACATATATTATAAAATTAAGAAAAGAGTAGATATCCATGCTTTATGAGAGTAAAATATATGTGTTTAAAAAAATGAAAGAGTGTGAGTCAGTTTAATTATTGTTTTAGGTTATCCAGAAAAAAATAGTCTTAATACTGATATAATTTTTTTTTACTATGAGTTGGTATTGTGTCAATGTAGTTAAAGTATATTTTTTCCCTTAATGAATATTTTTATCAAGTAAAAACAAGTTAAAATTAAAATAAAACAGCCTTAATAAAATGTAATTGGCGAAACGTGGCAGTACTCGGGAACAAAGTTATATATCTTGTTGTTAGGCGTACTCGAAAATCATGTGACTCGAAAAAAT